AAATTTATATTATAGATTCAGTGTCATGCAATATATTAAAGATAAACGTAGAAGTGTTATGGACGCTGAAACTTTGGACGCTCATTTACGTATTCGCCAAATTGGACCAAAATACGCTATACAACTTCATGCAACTAATATTGCTGCTGAGTGGGTAAAAGATCACAATCCCCCTGATATACTACGGCAAGGCCCTGAAAAACCACAGAAAAGATGCAGACAGACACTATGACTACTATGGATCCTATGGAAGAAATATAAGCCACTAACTTGAAATTATTTTAATATAATTATTGTTTTGTTTGCTTTAAATTGATTAACCAAGAAATATTTTATATTCAAAACATTGTTATACAATTTTACTTATTTATTGACCATTGTGTGAAAATGGCGATATTTATAAATTTAAATAATACTATAGTATTCTGCGTAAAATTCTCTATAAAATTGATATATCACATGTTCTAAAATGACTGACCATAAAACTTACATAAAACCCTTTACTCAAACTGACCTCTAGTCCGTTAAAGAGTGTTACTCCCGAAATAGCACATCACTGCCTTATTGATTAGGTAGTCTTTCGGGAATGTATGAGTATAACCCACATGTTATATTGCCTATCAATATTTAAAGTACCCCCAGAATTATGGTATGGGGTGCTGTATGGGGTAATAGGGAATTGGTCCCTACTTCTTTGAAAAGGCAGTTTCTGGAAAGACATTTAAGGATATGCTCATGAATTATGCCATTCCATGTATGCAACAATTCCCTGAATATGCAAATGTTCAGTTCCTACTCGATGGCTGTCCGGCTCATTGGTCAGTCATTGTTAAGGAAGTCCTAAATAAGGAGTTTTCAAGTGATAAGGGTTGGATAGGTAGGGGTGGTAACACTGTAGAATGGTGTGCATAAAGCCCTGACCTTAATGTATGCGATAGTTTTCCTATGTAACAAATTGTTTAAAAACCTCAGTTACCCTGAAACTGAGGATCAATTAAAACAAAAAATAATTAAGGCTTTCAATAGCATTACCCCTCAAATGTTAAGTAACGTTAGGGTTAATTGGGAAATGAGATTAAGAATGTGTACTGTATTATCGTGATTAAATTACTTTTATTTTAAATATTAAATAAACTTATTTTATAAGAATAATATATCTAAATTTTATTTAACTAATTTTTTTTGTCACTATTGAAATGTGTGATAAAATTTAGTACTATAAAGGGTTTGTAGACCATTTCTCAATCCGCATACTTTTCCCGCTACCTGTATATGGACCCACTGTTTAATTATCAATTTAATCTCTACTTAATGTTCAAAACTTATTACTCATACTTTGCTGTAAAACGTGTGCTCAAGGGATAGGCTCAGATCGCCTGATAATGGTTGGGATTTAAGTCGTCCGACAGTCCATAAGAGACTTAAAAACATTAGATTCAGGGCTCACTTCTCGTTATAATTTTGATAATACAGTAATTTTCTACATTATATTACTAATAGAGATAGAATTATGGGATACTTAAGTGAATGATAATCGCACAGAAGTAGAATATTCTGTAGTATGGGTGAGAAGTTGTGGAAGTGAAGGACACAAACACTTGTTAAAAGTAACTTAGAATTACAGTAGATATAACAGCGATATGGTAACTTTTTTAAAACGGCGAATAACTAATATCAACAAACTAGTAATCATTGGGTCATGACCTTGTGGGTTTTATGACCCGTTTTAACAAGACAAGAGTTGAGCTCCCCCAACAACTGTCGAGTTATTTATTTGTATAAGTGTGCGTCATTCCACATTGTCTAGGCTCCCTAGATATAATATTTTACATTTCAAAGGGGCTCTAATCCCTTCATCTAGGATGACGTTTCCTAGAAATACAGGAGCACGAATCCTGTAGAAGGTTTCATTGTCTAACGGGTGCTCATTAGACAGATCAGGGGCAGGAATCCTGATATAATAGTTTTTAATCATCTAATGAGTGTTCATTAGATTTATATCCATATGGAAATGTTATATTTCCTTTTAGAAATCTTTTATCCGATGTAGCTCTAAATATTTTATCGCAATATATAGTTTTAATTGAATTAAATTTATTTGCTTGGGAAATGTCTCCTGGGAAGTTATTTCCACCTAGGTGATATTGCGATGGATCCCCCAAATTTCTACCATGACCAATTCCTGTGTTAGTACTTGGGGTATTAACATCAATATTATCCTGTAGTATAAATTACTGTTAGCTATTTATTTAATAATTTTAAAAGTAACTTACTTTCGGAATTCCATTATAATTATTAACATACTGAATAGATGAGATAATATTAGCCATGGCTGTATTTTCATCTCGGGAATCGTGAGTAACCATCATGCTCATCTCATTTAAATTGTTAGCAATTTGAATTTGATTCATATAATCAGTTAGGTCAGTTGGAGCATGGACGGGGTGGGGTTCCGGTTGTAGAGGTGATACTGTTGAGGATCCAAATTCTTCAGGATAATCGCTTATATATCCAATAGTCAGATTGTCGGTAGCCATTTCCATAAGTGTGCTAGGCACATTTACCACTGGAATATTCCCAATATATTCTTGGGAATCAGGAATTGGAACATGCGGGTTTTCAGTTGGTAATTAGTTTATGAATTGCCTAATATTTAAAATATTTTATTCAATGCTACCAAAATGATTGAGAAATAAATATAAACAATATTTGCACTTATATTGTATAACTACATGATCTACTTTTATGTAATACTGTAATACTTAATTGTTAAATATAGCAACTTGCATCCCACTTCAATTGTTTATGTAATTATTGAATGACTATTAAAATTAATTTGTTAAATAATGAATTACCCGGTATATGAAAACACAATAATGTTTATACATTTTCATATTTAACATTAATAAATATAATTTATCAATAAAATTCTTACAAATTACAATAAATTATTGGGCGCGAATTATAATTTACTTAATTAATCATTATAAATTACTAAATTGATTATAGTGAAACTCATTTTATTGGTAAACTATTTATCTGATCCTGCAATATATTTATAGTAGACATTTAGTGCTACATTAATACGTAGTATTTTAGATTCAATTATAAAGCATAACGCAGTTATCATTGTGGACTCAAATGGTATTTGTGCGCCACATTAGACTGAAGCGATAAGATTTATGATCATTTATTTATTCAATATTTATCAACATTCAGGTACAAAATACGTTATATTTGTGGTAATATCATATTATGAACCATTCGTTAAACTAAAGTAACCATTGCTACTATTTTAAAGTAAATTATGTGTTTAGTTTTCACAGTTTAATACGATAAATATTACGTTTCTTACGATTGTGTATTTTTGTACACAATAAATAATTATAATTTGTAAATAATTAAAATAATATCTGACAATGCGTAAAAAGGAGCCTGTGCCTAATTGTGAAATATGCGGTGATAAAGGAGTTGGTACGTGTGATTTATCTATCGTTTTATAATTTGCCAAATGAATTAAAAATTTTATTTATTATTATAATAGGTCGCAATTTTGGTGCAATAAGTTGCGAGTCGTGTAAAACATTTTTCAGGAGGAACTCGCTCAAATTGAAGGTATGGTATACATGGCATATGAAATGTTAAATTAGACATTGATAATTAAAAATGAACCTGAATTGATTTTTATTTTCTAATATAGGAGTTTGTATGTTATTTTGAGGATAAGTGTAATGTTGAGCACAAAACACGGAATTCATGCAAAAAGTGTCGATTAGTTAAATGCTTTTCAGTGGGAATGAAAAAAGTAAATATTATTCACTACAGTATTACAGTATAAATAAATCATTTGAATCCAATTGAACGCAAACCCAATAGGAGTTCATTCAAAGCAAAGAGCAAAATGAGATGAGAAAAATCAAAATCAAATTAAGCAGACAAATGAAAAATACAGAAATTATAACAAGATCATCTGAAAGTAGTTCGTCGAGTGATAAATTCATGGACTCAGTAGTTGTGTCAGACATCTATGAAAATAATAAGACTGTCTTAAGAAATGTGTTGGCACTCAATCAGTCCATTAAAAGTAATTTTAAACACAAGAATCCAATGAATACTAGTGTAACCCAAGAGTTGACACAATACCTGTCCACACCTATACTCCGGCCGATCAATACATATAAGGATTTGAATGAAATTGAATGCAAACATTTGCTGGACTTGTATTTGGCGTCAAAAGTATTTCATTTCCCGAAGACTAATATGAAGTATATTCACATCACCAATATTATTGAGTTTTATATTAATTGGTGTAATCGTATCGAAATGGACACACAATGTATTGTGAGTCTGGCCAAGGAGTTGACTAGTAACGTAGATATTTGTCTTAATGATCAAATTGCACTGGTCAAATACGGTAGCATGGAAATTAGTGTATTGAGGGCTAACTATAACTATGATCTACAGACTGAGAACTGGACCATTTATCTCGTAAGGATATATAACAAATAATTTATCAACAAATACTAAATTTTCAAGTACCTGGTAGACATTTATTTGAATGAAATATTTTAAAAATGTATTACAGAATAATGATAATTCATGCATATCTTCAGTACATATATTAAAGGACGAGAAGCGAAATCTATACGGAGTTTACAAAAGCCATTTCAATAAAATCATACCCGAGTGGAATTGGGACAGGGTACTTGTTGACCTGGTATGTAATTAAGAGCACAGTAATAAGTTATTACTACTAATATTAGTTTTAATTATAAAATTTTTTATTGATATAGTTAACAGTAATTATACTTTTCAACCCGAATCGTCCAAGCATAATTAACAAGGATAAAATTAAGTAAGTACATCACAATAGATATTAAAAATATTTATGTAAGTTTTAAAAATTATTTGTGTCTAGGTACCAGCAACAATTGTACATCTATTTACTTCAACGGTATTTAGCAATGAAATACCGGTGGGAATGGTTGTGGAGATACAAGATGTCAAACCTTATGAATGCATTAATGGACTTAAATATTGTCAGCAGAATTGAGATATTAAATGGTGTCGAGGATTATATCGAGTATTTTGGACCCGTTTCTCAAGAAATGTTTCGCGATATCTATAAGGATTGATGAGATTTACAATATATATATCTGGTATGTATCCTAGTATTAAAAGTATAACGTATTTGAGATTTATATTAAAATACATAATATTATTTATTTATTATTAATTTTTATACGGGGGTTTTGTGATAGTGAGTGTATGTGTTGGGTAGGTATATGTTATTATTGAGTTACTCCATAAATGATTATTTTCTGTTATGAAATACCCAGATTCTGTAGCCCAATAATATTCACCCACTTTAAATACATAGGGTTTGAACTTTTAATAGTATTATGATTTATCATATTCCATAATAAGTTAACATATTATAGTACATTATGTATGTATATTGTGTAACATTGGCATGGTACTGTTATCAGCATATCAGTGTGTACAGTATTTCAATATCGCATACTTAGCTTTAATAGTGATAAGATTTTATCATAATTTTCATGAACAATATTTATAACACATTCAACTTACATGCAGTAAACACACAATAATTTCTATTATTATATATCGGTATTGTGTGCTACTTGTACTGTACAATCGCAATCATTTGCTTTAAATAAAAAGTACTGTACATCCTTATTAATAATAATACTATTATTATTGTATTGTCCTACAACACTTGCTACTAAATAAGTAATTAAAAATTCAGTAACACATTACTTATTATAGACCATACATAGGATCATAATTTTCATATTGCATAAACTCTAAATATAATTTTATGTATTATAATAAATAAATAATAATTAAAAATATGCCCCCAAAACACTATCACTCACATACACAACCCAGGGTATATGTTATTATTGAGTTACTCCATTAATGATTTTTTTCTGTTATGTTCTGTTATTTTACCCAGATTCTGTAGCCCAATAATATTCACCCACTTTAAATAATTAGGTTTTGAACTTTTAATAGTATTATGATTTATCATATTCCATAATAAGTTAACATAACTGTAATATACTGTAGTATATTATGTAACATTGGCATGGTACTGTTATCAGCATATCAGTGTGTACACTGTACAGTATTTCAATATCGCATACTTAGCTTTAAATATATTTGTGATAAGATTTTATCGTAATTTTCATGAACAATATTTATAAAACATTCAACTTACATGCAGTAAACACGCAATAATTTCTATTATTATATATTGGCATTGTGTGCTACTTGAACTGTACTATCGCAATCATTTGCTTTAAATAAAAAGTACTGTACATCCTTATTAATAATAATACTATTATTATTGTATTGTCCTACAACACTTGCTACTAAATAAGTAATTAAAAATTCAGTAACACATTACTTAATTTTTAAGTGATTGTGACAAAAATTAAATTAATCTAAGTATGCGAAAAAAGGTGTTGGTGCCTAATTGTGAAATATGTGGCGATAAGGGAGTGGGTATGAGCTCTTTGTCTAATATTTTATCAATTAAATCTTAGATTTATTTACTAAATTAATTTGATTTATAAGATTAAAAATGATATTATTTTAGGCAGAAATTTTGGTGCAATAAGTTGCGAGTCGTGTAAAACCTTTTTCAGGAGGAATTCCCTAAAATTAAAGGTATACTACTAATGGAGATATAGTTTAAAATGAATTGATTGTCAATGATTATTGTATTGTGAAATAGGAATTTAAATGTAAATATGATGATGAGTGTATTATTGGAAAATATACCAGGAATATATGCAAAAAGTGTCGATTAGTTAAATGCTTTTCGGTGGGAATGAAAAAAGTAAATATTATTCACTATCGAGATATAAATAAATATATTTTAATCCAATTAAATGCAAACCCAATAGGAGTTCATACAAAGCAAAGAGCAAAATGAAATGAGAAAAATCACAATTGAATTAAACAAACAAAAGAAAATTCATGAAAACATTAATATATCTGAAGACAGTTCATCGAGTGATACAATCACCGATGTCTTGGATACTGATATCGACACCGGAATCGTTTCAGACATTTATGAGAACAATAAGACTGTCTTCAGGAATGTGGTGGCACTCAATCAGTCCATTAAAATACATTTGAATCATACTGACTCCAGGAATACTAGTATAGCCCACGAGCTGACACAATACCTGTCCACACCTGTGCTCCGACCTATCAATACATATAAGGAGTTGAATGAAATTGAATGCAAACATTTGCTGGACTTGTGTTTGGCGTCCAAAGTATTTCACTTCCCGTCGACGACTCTGAAGTACACTCACGTCACGAATATTATTGAGTTTTATCTCAGTTGGGGTAATCGTATCGAAATGGACAGTCAGTGTGTTGTGAGCATAGCCAAGGAGTTGACTAAAAATGCCGATATTAGTCTCAATGATCAGATTGCCCTGGTCAAATATAGCAGTATGGAGATCAGTGTGTTGAGGGCTAACTATAATTACGATTTGCAGACTGAAAACTGGACCCTATATCTAGTAATTTTTATTTAATATTAAAATTCCTATTTACTAAACTTTATAATTAAATATATATTATGTGATTTATTTACAGAATAATGACAATTCCGGTATACTTCCCATACATGTATTACAGAATGAAAAGCGAAATCTATACGAGGTTTATAAAAGTCATTTTAATAAGATTATTCCCGAATGGAATTGGGACAGGGTACTTGTTGACCTGGTAGGCAATTAAGACCACATGTATCATATTTTTGATAACTAAAAATATTTATGTTTTCTTATATAGTTAACAGTAATTATACTTTTCAACCCGGACCGTCCAAATATAATCAACAAGGATGTTATTAAGTGAGAAAATAATATAACTATAATAATTTTGTAAACATTATTTTAAAAATATATTGTGTCTAGGTATCAACAAAAAATGTATATCTATTTACTGCAACGATACTTATCGATGAAATACCGGTGGGAATGGTTGTGGAGATACAAGATGTCAAACCTTATGAATGCATTAATTGACGTCAATATAGTCGGAAGAATTGAGATATTAAATGGTGTCGAGGATTACATCGAGTATTTTGGACCCGTTTCTCAAGAAATGTTTCGCGATATCTATAAAGATTGATGAGATTTACCAAATATTTCTGACTATAACTCATAATAACATGAAATATATTTGTAACTATTCAAGAATACAATATATACAATAGTATACAATATTATATAATACATTTCTATTGATTACACATTTAAAGTTCCTATCTTATAATAATGTTTATATTCAAACTCGTATTATAAAAATCTAATATAATGTTTAAAAGTTATTTAATACAATTAAATAAAGTTAAATAAAGCGCTTGAAAAGGATAAGGAGTTATTCATTGTAGTTTGCCTTGAAATATACAATTAGATAATCAAGGTTGTTGTTATTATTATATTTAGCAAATAAAATATTAAACAAATTTAATAAAACTATCAAAACTTAAAAATAAATTTGCAAAACTAAATTGTATATTATTTTGAAAAATTAAATTATTAAAACAGTAATTTTTATTCCCAATGATATCAAGCCAATTCTGGTTTGTCGTAATATAATTTGTGGCAATTGCTTTTGTTGCTGGTTATAACTCATAACGCAATCGCAAAAAATTGTTTATCAACTCTAAAAATATATGCATATTTATTATACAAGATATTTCATCAGATATACTGTATGAATTACATACAAATTAATAATATTTACAATTTTCAACACCTGATGAAAACATTAATCACACTTAATATTGAAGTTATAAAGTACTGTATTATTATAAATATGTAAAATATATACATGTCTTTCGTTGAATTATGTTTTTATTTTTCAATTGTGTAATATACCCTAAAATTGAATGGTTATCATAATATAAACTGTATTTATATTTACATAAATTCATAAAATATTAATTAAAATGAAGAGACAAACGAATAAAATTTGTGAGATTTGCAGCGATAAAGGAATTGGTAAATAACTTGTTAAATAAAATTGTATATAAGATTCTTAATTATAAATTAATATTTTATAAGAAATAAGTAATTAGTTATTAATTAATATTTTTATATTAAATTCTGGGGACTTATAGGCAGACACTTCGGTATAATTACTTGTGAATCGTGTAAAGCATTCTTTAGGAGGAATGCTAACAAAGAACAGGTAATAAAATGTGTAAATAAATTGATATTATTATTATTATTCATGATTTATTTGATTAGTTATTTGAGTGCCCTTCGGACGGAAAGTGCAAAATAAATATAAACACTAGAAAGTTGTGTCCAAAATGTAGACTTCATAAATGTTTTGCAGTGGGTATGAAAAAAGTAAGTTATTGTTGAACTCTATTTAGACCAAAAAAATAAGACTTGTATTCACAGGAACTCATACTAAGCGATGAGGAAAGGGAGCAAAGGAGGCGAGTGTTGGAAGAGAATCGACGCAAACGACAATTAAATGAAAGCCAAACCTCATCTTCAGAAGTGAATAAATCCTCAAATCCGGCATCAATTGTGTCGACCATATCTGATGACTCCTTCTTGGGTGACATCACTGATAGTGTTTTAGACGTCACGGATGAGGACCTGAGCGCACAGATTATGGAAATTGAAAATTATGTGAATAGTGAGGACACGGATCAAAGTATTGAGACATTGAGTGAAAGACTTATGTTGAAAGAGATCAGACAGAAGGCACAGAAAATGACTGTCATTCCTATGTTCAAAGAACTCACGGATTACAACGGTTTGAATGACTTAGAAGTCAATAAGATTGGGGAGCTATTGGCCATATCCAAAATATTTGACTACCCTGCTACTAAAAATACATTAATAATCGAGAACAAATTAGACTATGTTCATTTTTACTCTAAGAGAACTGAGGAATGTGTTAAGGAAGCGCTAAACTATTGCAAAGGGTTGAGTGGATTCACAAATACATGCCCTGATGATCAGTATACCTTGTTCAAACACGGGTCTGTCGAAATGATGCTACTTAGATCTCTAATGTTCTACAACAATGATGAAAAATATTTTAAACTCAACTTGGTATTTATAAATTCTATGATAGCATATATATATTGATAATAATTTTCTGTCATAGGATAGCGAGACTTCATTTGTAGTTAGTTTTGATTTATTTCAAGACGAGCTCTCGAATCATATAAAACAATTCAAATATTTTTTCGAGCAGTACCTGGACAAATTTCTACCACAATGGAAACGGGACCGGCTCATTTTGGAATTGGTATGACAAATGGTGCTGTTAAATATTAATTAAGTTTAAAACCTTTCAGATTTCTGCGATCGCACTGTTTAACCCAAACCGACCTAATCTTAAACATAGACAAAATATCAGGTATTAAATACTCCATGTTGTTTTTAGTAGAATTTTTATAATAATAAAATTAATTTATTGTTATTTTTATCGATATAATAGACTGGAACAGCAATTGTATATTTATTTATTGCAAAGATATTTACTATTGAAGTGTCGATCCGATTGTGAATCTCAGGAAAGGTTATGTAAACTAATGAACACTTTCGCCGATATCTACAAAATGGTTGAATTGCAAAAAACTCTAGGATATGAAGACATTAAAGAATACGTACAATATTCTGGACCACTTATCAAGGAGATTTATGATTTTCCACTAACAGAATAAACATCTCTATAATTATATTAAACCTAATCAATTTTTTATGACAAACTAAATTATTTAGCAGTTTAAATATTATAATTTACTAGTTTTTAAAATTAAAAAATATATAAATATATTTTCTATTGAGATATTTTACTATTATTATTTGACTATCACAATAATAACCAATTTATTTACCGGTACAGTGAAAATGTTTTATAAAACAATGATTGTGCGATGTTGTAATAAATGAAACTTTTGGCATTGTTAGTAAATGACTTGTTGAATGTTTTCTAACTTAAATTAGTTATATATAGATATTATATAATTATATTTATAAGAAATGCAGAAACAGTTCTTGTAATTTGAATTATTGTCTTCATTATTAGGATGAATGTCACCGACAGTGACATCTCTGCGAACTTAAGACTTTGAGTTCATTTTATTAATTTTTTTGTCATATTTAAATTATTTTATTCAATTACAATTTAATAAATATAATAACTTTTCAATGTTAATTATATAATAATAATATTATTAATCGCATTACCGAATAATATAGAAATACATTTAAGTAATTTGAAGTCAAAATAAAATCTTATAAAACAGTTAATTGCGTGAAAAGGTTATCCATGTCTGTCCATTTCAGGAAGTCCTATTAGTCTGTCTCTTAACGTCTTATATTCCAGTCCTTAGGTCTCCATTGAATTAACTCTGTGTTAGGACTGTCGAGATAGCGGGTGAGCAGCGCTTCCAGTGATGGACTCATTTGCATCCATTCATAATCACCACATATTCTGCCCACACCTTCATATGGCACCCGACTCCTGGCTAAGACAGTGATACAGAGGCCGTCGTGAGAGTGTTCGGGAACTCCGTTGTGCTCCACAGATAGCACACCCAGTAGTGAGTCAGCCGGGTATTGATTGATAAAAATTTCCTATAATAACAATATATAAATTAATTTATCGTTTATTTTCGACAAATTAATTAAAATAAATTTAAGGCAAAACCTTAAGAAAAACATTGAGAATATTATTTAAATTAGCTTGATCATTTATTGCGCATACAGGTAGATGAGGGGATGGTGGCTTTGAGATCACTATGTAGTGACTGTTACTATAAATATATCACTGATTTATTAATATAATATATGAAACAGTATTAATAATGAATTAATTGATATAACAATTAAATCATACTTTTGATCTCTTTTGGCAGTGAATACCACTCTTAATAACATCCTATTATGAGCCCAAATGGCAGTGAATCGTGAGATATGATACGGAATCGCTGCCACAGATCTGTTATAATTGCGGACAACATTTATGATATCGATTGTGTCATTATATCGTAGATTCAGTGAACTGATGTCACTTTCAGACCACCACTTGGCCTGAATTGACTCCCTGTCCTCAACACTCTTTAGTTGACCACCGATGACACGCCCGGAATATATGAATCTAAAATGACAAGTTAAATGCTTATACTTAGGAGCGGTCTCTATCATCACTAAATCTGTTGCTACAATCTCCAGACCAGACTCTTCGAGCACTTCCCTCCGAATAGCGTCTATTATCTGCTCATTCGGATCTACCTTTCCTGCTGGCAGTGCCCACTGACCTCGACATTTGCGATGTGCCTCTTGAATCATAAGCACATTCTTGTCATTGAAAATCACAGCAAACACTATATAATACACATTCTTTTGAACAATCGTTGATTTAAGTTCTGGTGACAATTGAAACAAACTTTTATTGCAATCAATATACCTGTCAATATATTTAATTATAGTTTTTAAATATAATATATACCGGATTTACTGATGGAGTCATAGGCTTCAAAATCGCAAACAAATGGTATGTCTTGAGACAAGGGCTGACCATTAAATATTGTCTCGATTTGTGTGTCCAATAAATCCATGACTTGTATCCAAATTCTTTGTAATTGTAATATTAAAATGAATTTTGCTAATTATTTAATTATAAATAAACACAAACACATAATACATGTACAATATATTCATTGATGCGGTTCAATGTAGAATGTTATGTATTTTGTAGATTAATTAATTAATTATTTACAATATACTATAAATTTAACTCAAAAAATACATCGATTTCAAGGGTTTTGCATTTTAAACACTTTTACAGATTAGATAATGAAATGAATAGATAAAAATATTAATTTAAACAAATATGATATCATTAAAAATTTAAACAATTCTACATTTGTGCATTTATATTATAAAACATTAAACATTCAAAATCATAAACAAAATTAGTGTAAAAATACTTTGAATTTAAAGCAAATAAATAAATTAAAAAGAGTACAAAGTTTTGTGTATTTTCCATAACACTGAATATAGTATTACACAATCAAATCTAGTACAGTACAATAATTACCGGTATATAAATTATTATTTACAAAATTTATTATTGAATGACATTACTTGTGGCAAATACTCTTAAAAACATAAGTTTTTATAATTTTTATTATAATAAATAGCTGTGCTGCAAATATAATTATTTAATATATCATGTTTATAAATTGAAAGTTATTAAAACGTTTAGTAAGTAGAAGTAAAAAGTAATAAGTACTGGCACAACACTTTTGAATCATTACCATAAGAATTACTTAATACTGTAAATTTAACTTTAATCAAATTAGGAATTCTAATAAAACCATGAGTTTTAATCCAGGTAGATGTCATTATCTATACCGATGTATTAGAATTGTGATATAAATATAGCTTTTGTTAATTGTTGATATCGTACAAACCGAAAGTACTAAAACAAATCATCATAAAAGTTTATTAGCATTATATGGTTAGTCTATTATACAGCATATTTCATATGTAAGTGGGATTACAAATCCATTATTTACTGAACATTTATACTATTTATAATTATTTAAAAAGTTTACTGATTACAGTAATATTAATTTATTCATTAGTTTAAAATGCCATGAGTATATTTTAAAAATAAATAGTTACTTACTATTGAATAGAAATAATAATTTTTTAATGAAACTATTGGTATTTATATCTTGTAATAATTGATCAAATTCTATGTTAATATGGAAATATATTCTTAAAATAAATTCATAGAATATTAATTAAAATGGAAATCAAAGTGAACAAAATATGCGAGATTTGCAGCGATAAAGGAATTGGTAAATAAATATTATTCATAAAACTTTATACAAGTTTCTTAATATTAAATTAATACGTTACCTGTATAAAGAATAAGTAACTAGTTATTATTATTATTATTATTATTTATCACAAACTCGGATGACTTATAGGCCGACACTTCGGTGCCATTACTTGTGAACCGTGTAAAGGATTCTTCCGGAGGAATGCCAACAAAGAACAGGTAATAGAAAAAAGTGTAAATTAATTGATGTTATTATTCATGAATTATTGTGAATAGTTAGTGGAGTGCCCTTCGGATGGAAAGTGCAAAATAAGTATAAACACTGGAGGAATGCCAACAAAGAACAGGTAATAGAAAAAAGTGTAAATTAATTGATGTTATTATTCATGAATTATTGTGAATAGTTAGTGGAGTGCCCTTCGGATGGAAAGTGCAAAATAAGTATAAACACTAGAAAGTTGTGTCCAAAATGTAGACTTAATAAGTGTTTTGCAGTGGGTATGAAAAAAGTAAGTTATTGTTGAACTCTATTTAGACCAAAAAAATAAGACTTGTTGTATTCACAGGAACTCATATTAAGCGATGAGGAAAGGGAGCAAAGGAGGCGAGTGGTGGAAGAGAATCGACGCAAACGACAATTAAATGAAAGCCAAACCTTATCTTCAAAAGTGAATAAATCCTCAAATCCTGCATCAATTGTGTCGACCATATCTGATGACTCCTTCTTGGGTGACATTACTGATAGTGTTTTGGACGTCACGGATGAGGACCTGAGCGCACAGATTATGGAAATTGAAAATTATGTGAATAGTGAGGACACGGATCAAAGTATTGAGACATTGGGTGAAAGACTTATGTTGAAAGAGATCAGACAGAGGGCCCAGAAAATAGCTGTCATTCCTATGTTCAAAGAACTCACGGATTATAACGGTTTGAATGCATTAGAGGTCAATAAGATTGGAGAGTTGTTGACAACATCGAAAATATTTGACTACCCTGCTACTAAAAACACAATAATTATTAAGGAAAAGGCTGATTATATGAGAATCTTCTCAAAAAGAACGGATGAGAGTATTAAAGAAGCGCTAAATTATTGCAAAGGATTGACTGGATTTACGAGTGCATGCGCTGAGGATCAATTTACCTTGTTTAAAATCGGGTGCGTCGAAATGATGCTACTTAGGGCCTTGATGTTTTATAACGAGGATGAAAAATATTTCAAATTAATCATGGTTTGTATAAATTCAATATACGATATATTCATTGATAGTAACAATGTGTTTGTCATAGGATAGCGAGACTTCATTTGTAGTTAGTTTTGATTTATTTCAAGAGGAGATGACGAGTCATATAAAACAATTTAAGGATTTTTTCGGGGAATACATTGCTAAATTTCTACCACAATGGAAACGGGATCGTGTCATATTGGAATTGGTACGACAAATGTTGCATGTTAAATTGTTTATTTATTTTTAATTGTAATATTGGCAGATTTCTGCGATCGCACTGTTCAACCCGAACCGACCTAATCTTAAACATAGGCATAATATTAGGTATTAAATGCACAATGGTGATGTTATTAAAATAATATTTAATAAAAAATCAATTAAATTTGTATAATTATATGAATAATTAATCATTGTTTTCTATTTCTATAATAGACTCGAACAACAGTTATATATTTATTTACTCCAAAGATATTTACTATTGAAGTGTCGATCGGATTGTGAATCTCAGGAAAGGTTATGTCAACTAATGAACACTTTCGCCGATATCTACAAAATGCTTGAATTACAAAAAACTCTTGATTATGAAGAACTTAAAGGATATGTTAAACATTCTGGACCATTGATCAAGGAGATTTATGATGTTCCAGCACAAGAATAAAAATATCTATTTTTATATTACAATTAAACTAGACAATTTTGAATATAAAACTTAAATTATTTAACCGAACAAATCTTACTATTTACTTTATTAATTAAACAATATATAACTATTAAATTGTTATTTTGCAATGACATTAATAATCAATATATTTACAATAACAAAATAAACTACTATTTACATTAGGGCAATATCTTAAATTTGAATTTATTTATTAAAATTGTTGTGTCAAATAATCTTTAAAATACAATGAAAATATAAATAAGGTTTCATTAGATATACACATAAACATTCAATATTACCATAAGAATTGCAAAATAATAAATACTTTAAACAAATTAAGAATATTAAGAAAATCCTATTTTGTACAAAAATAGATGTCATTGGTACAAATGGTACAGATACCGGTGCAATAGATTTATAAAACAGTAGAATAATAATAAAATAGCTATTATAAATGTTTTGATAATTGCACTTGATTACTGATAAAATACGGTACACAATCAATCGCTTAGGGGAGTAAAACTTTATTATAGTATTATTTTTGTTAGTCCTTGGCAGTCCATTATACAGCACATTTTTCATAGTGAATTACAAAAGCATTACTTTCAACATATTCCGACTATTGTACAATATTTATATTTATAATTTTAGAAAAGTATTTTCTGTTGACAATGACAATAAAAATTTATTTATTTTAAAATCGCATAGCAACTATATTTTAAACGTAAAAATTTAATGTATTGGTGCTCAAAGAAATTAATAATTTATTAATAACATAATTGTTAGTATTTAATGTATATTATTTCTGTATCTTTTGTAGATACTCGGTAAAATTAAGTGATATTATCGAGATAAATTAATAAAATAAATAAAAATGGAAATAAATGTGAATAAAATTTGCGAGATTTGCAATGATAAAGGAGTCGGTAAATAATGATAAAATAATAAATTTTATATCGTATTATGTTTTATATTGAAATAACGTAGCGATTACTGGTATTAATTGTGGTCACAATTATGATGTCTTTTAGGACGAAACTTTGGTGCCATTACTTGTTACTCATGTAAAGCATTCTTCAGGAGGAATGCTCCCAAAGATAATGTTAGAAAAATTTACTATTATTTCAAATTAATGGTTATAATTGTTTGAAATGTTCACTCAATAGCTATTGGAGTGCCCTTCGGATGGAAAGTGCAATATCAATGCAAACACTAGAAAGTTGTGTCCAAAATGTAGACTTCATAAGTGTTTGGCTGTGGGTATGAAAAAAGTGAGTTATTGTTTGAACACCATTCATACGAAACTAAATTAATGTTTTTGTTTTGTGTATTGAATACGACAGGAATACATATTAGGTGATGAGGAAAGGGAGCAAAGGAGACAATTAGTCGCAGAGAATAGACGCAAACGAAAACAATTGAGTGAAAGTCAAAACACGTCCTCAGAAGCGAATGAACCCTCAAATCCACGGCCACTTGAGTCGACCATATCTAGTGATTGTGGTGACAGTGACTTCTTGGATGATATAATGGGATGCGTTTTGGATGAGCACTCGGACCACAGTATTGAGACATTGAAAGACAGACATAAGTTAGAAGATATCAATGAGAAGTCACAAAAAATAGCTGTCATTCCGCTGTTCAAAGAGCTCACAGATTATAACAGTTTGAATGAATTAGAGATCAATAAAATTGGAGAGTTATTGAACACATCCAAGATATTTGACTACCCGTCCACCAAAAACATCATAAAACTTAAGGACAAATCAGAGTACGTAAGGCTTTACTCCCAAAGAACTGAAGATATTGTCAAAGAATTGCTTAATTATAGCAAAGGGTTGAATGGATTTAGTAGGCTATGCGATGAGGACCAGTACACCATATTTAAGTACGGGTGCTCTGAAATGTTGTTTATTAGAAATCTAATGTATTATAATCACGATGATAAACAATTTACAATATACATGGTATATAAATGAATTATAATTTAAATGAGTTTTATTTTGATATTCATTTACATAATGGTGTCTTTCATAGGGTAACGAGACTTCATTTATCGTTGGTTTTGATGTGTTTAACGATGAAATATCCGGATACTTTGTATCATTTCAAAAGTTATTCGAGGAATATATAGATAAATTTGTACCATGTTGGAACCAGGATCGTATCATTATGGAATTGGTATGGCAATTATTTTAGTTAATACATAATATACAATTATATACATAATTATAATTAAGTTAATTTATTAGATTAATGCGATCACTCTATTCAACCCAAATCGACCCGGTCTTAAGCACAGATATAATGTTAGGTAATTGTACCTGCACCAAATAATCACTTGTTATTGACTGCAAATGTGTGTTCTGTATGTATGAGGGAATATGAGAAAGGGTTTGTAAAGTAAAATGAATTACCAAGTGGTATGTGATAGAATTAACCACAGTTTATAATCTCATGTTATCATAATAGATTAAATAATTTATTTGCAGTCAATCTTGTGTGATACTAATAATATATTTTATTATTTCTATAATTAATTTCTTATAACTATGTTTTCAATTTATATGGTGATAGACTGGAACAGCAATTGTATATTTATTTACTGCAAAGATATTTACTATTCAAGTGTCGATCCGATTGTGACTCAAAAGAAAGGTTATGTCAACTAATGAACACTTTCGCCGATATCTGTAAAATAAATGAATTACAAAAATCTATTAGTAATGAGGACTTTAAAGATTATCAACAATATACTGGACCACTTATCAGGGAGATTTACGACATACAAATAAAGTAACATTACCCGATAATATGGAATTATATAAACATTTTGTATTAAAATTATTCATTAATAATAATATTTTTACATATCATTTTTTACTAAAACTTTGTTTACTACAAATTATTAATTTTGAAAATAATCAAATTAATATTTTATTAATCAAGTTAAGTTGTTTAAATAGTTAAACTATTTACATTAATACTGAATTTAAAATAAATGTATTTATTATTAGTTATGTGTCAAATACGGTAATCTTAAAATGACAATATATATAAATTTATATTGCAAATACGTGTCCTTCAATTATTATTAATACTAATTTATATGAATTAAATTCCATATATATATGTGTGAAAATTTATTTAAATAACAATAATCTCTGCCATCATACAATATTTTAACATCATAATTAGAATTACAAACTTACAAAGTTTTAATACAAATTACTAATTTTAATAAAAATTAGACAATATTTAACTAGATGTCATGTTTATACCAGTGCAACTGAATTATATAGCTAAATGTTGTGGTAATTGCTTTTGATAATCAAAATTGCTGATAAAAAACGCAATCAATCGCTTAAGGGAGTTGTTATCAACAGAAAAGTTGTTTATCAACTCTAAAAATACTACATTTCCAGCCCATTATACCATTATAAAGCATATTTCATCAGTTATTGGAATATTACATTAATTCCTACTATTTATATATTTTTAAAAGTATTTTCTGATGAAATTAAAAATAAAAGTTTATTCATAATATTTTTAAGTTATACAGTATAGCATCATAAATAAATTTTGTAAAGTAATATTTTCCTGTATTGTGTTTGAATGAATATACAGTAGTATTATCACATAAAATATACTGATTTATCATACTATTGTTGGTGTTTATAAAGTATATTGTGTAACATTGTGTCAATTTAAATGGTAGTTACGAAATATATTCGCCAAAATAAATTCATATACTATTCATTAAAATGAAAGAAAAAGTGGACAAAATTTGCGAGATTTGCAGCGATAAAGGAATTGGTAAATAAATATTTAAAATATAATTAACATTGAAAAGTTATACCGTAACTAATTGTGTGTGTCTTTTATAATTGTGACCACAAATTATGATTAATTTTTAGGCCGACATTTCGGTGCCATTACCTGTGAATCGTGTAAAGCATTCTTCAGGAGAAATGCCAACAAAGATAAGGTAATAGAAAAAGTGAATCAAAATTTATTTTATCCTAATTAGAGAGTAATTGGCTATAATTGCTGAAAATTTCTGTCAATAGTTAGTGGAGTGCCCTTCGGATGGAAAGTGCAAAATAAATGCAAACACTAGAAAGTTGTGTCAAAAATGTAGACTTAATAAATGTTTGGCTGTGGGTATGAAAAAAGTAAGTTGTTGTTTAACACTACATAAGTATACTTTACTAAATATATTTTCATGTATTGATAGGAATTCATATTAACGGATAAGGAAAGAGAGGAAAGGAGACAATTAGTGGAAGATAATAGACGTAAACGAAAACAATTAACTGAATGTCAAAAATCATCTCAAGAATCAGATTTGCCATCAAATCCTTCATCAAATAAATCCTCAAATCCTTCATCAAATGAGTCGACCATATCTTGTGATAGTGACAGTGACTTCTTGGGTGACATAACCGCATGTGTTTTGGATGTAAGCGATGAGGACCTGAGCGCACAGATTATGGAAATTGAAGATTATGTCAACAATGAAGACTCGGATCAAAGTATTGAGACATTGAGTGATAGACTTATGTTGCAAGACATCAATGAGAGATCGCAACAAATAGCTGTCATTCCTCTGTTCAAAGAACTCACGGATTATAACGGTTTGAATGAATTGGAGGCCAATAAGATTGGGGAGCTATTGGGCGCCTCCAAGTTATTTGACTACCCGACCAGTAAAAACATAATCAAACTGACGGACAAACTTAATTTTGACGAGTATTTAAGAAGTTATTCCCAAAAATCTGAAGAGACTGTCAAAGAAACCCTAAATTATAGCAAAATGTTGAGTGCGTTCACGAGTGTATGTCCTGAGGACCAGTATACCTTGTTCAAACACGGGTGCTCGGAGCTTTTTATGCTTAGGTGCCTTATGTTTTATAACCAAGATGACAGGAATTTTACAGTGTATATGGTATATAATTAATAACAATCATATTAATATGGTATTTATAAATTCATTGACATTTATTTTATACCTCTATTTAGGATAACGATACGACATATATAATTAATTTTGATGTATTTAGCGATGAAATATCATCGGAATATAAATATTATTCAGTATTCAAACAACTATTTGAGGATTTTTTGTGCAAATTTATGCCCTATTGGAAAAAGGACCGTGTCATATTGGAATTAGTATGTGATTATTGTATAGTAAACACCATGTTTTAATAATTACGTTAAAATATTACAGATAAACGCAATCGCACTGTTCAACCCGAATCGACCCAATCTTAAACATAGACATAATATTAGGTAACTAATAATTATTAGTTATATTATATTTTTATAATATAATAATAATACTAATAATAATAAATAGTTATTGACTGCAAATAGTATGCTTAGTTTTAAATGACTGATAAATGATTATTAAATTATTTTGTTAAATAAATACTTCTTGCACTTTTAATATTGTTTCTAGTGTATATTTGCAACCAATAAGATTATTATTAACATAAATATGGGATTTTTGATTTTAATTTTAATTTTATTATAAACCTTATAATAGACTGGAACAGCAATTGTATATTTATTTACTCCAAAGATATTTACTATTGAAGTGTCGATCGGATTGTGAATCTCAGGAAAGGTTATGTAAACTAATGAACTCTTTCGCCGATATCTACAAAATGATTGAATTACAAAAATCTGTTGGTTATGAGGATATTAAAAGATATTTACAATATACCGGACCATTGATCAGGGAAATTTATGATATTCCAACAGAATAACATCTAACATTTAGTAATTAAATTTTAATTACCGGTAAGAAATTAAATTTTAGTTAATACAGGTACTATTCATTATTTTAAATATTATGTATATAATTGCATATGATAAATAAACATTATTTTAAATACATTATTCAATGACTAATTAAAATTTATACTGTAGCACACAGTGTATGCTATTATATTCTGATATGATATATTAAATAGGTTTGTAAATTACTAATGTTACTTTATTAAAAAATATTATATCAACCTTATATACAATTACTAAACTATAATATGCAAATTATTATAAATATGCTGCAAAGTTTCAAATCTAATTATTAATTAAGGGTTTTAATAGAGGTTTGCAATATTACTATATCAAGAAGTCATGGCTATACAGGTGATATCAGGTCTTATCATAATATTGTACTAAATTGCTATTGATTTCTGATAACAATGCAATCAATCGCTCAGTGAGCTATGCCAATTAAATGAAAAGTGTTCATCATCATTTTAAAAAATGTATTCAGAACTCATTGTGCCGAACATTTCATTAATCATTGAAATTACACATAAATAATACTAATTATATAATTTATAATTTTAAAAGTAATTTATTTTTAAATGAATATTTTAAAATCGTATTGGTTGAGTTTAGTTTGATGTTCAAAATATACTCAATAAACAAATAATATTCATAACAATGAAACAGAAAGTGCACAAAATCTGTGAGATTTGTGGCGATAAAGGGAACGGTACGTAATAATAAATAAAATTAAATAATTTTAAAATTAGCTCAAATAAACGTTTTAATTGCATAAAAATGTGATGTCCTTTAGGGCGACATTTCGGTGCCATTACTTGCGATTCGTGTAAAATATTCTTCAAGAGGAATGGCAACAAAAATCAGGTGAATTTGGGTATAAATATATTTGTTATAATTTTAACTAACTATTGTGTATAGCTATTGGAGTGCACTTCGTACGGGAATTGCAAAATAAATCGTAAAGATTGTAAAACTAGAAGGTTGTGTACAAAATGCAGGCTTAATAAATGTTTTGCTGTGGGAATGAGAAGGGTGAGTTATTGAAAGAATTCCCGTTTATTTCTAAATTAAATTGTTTGTCTGTATTGACAGGAATTCATACGAAACCACGAGGAAAGGGAGGAAAAGAGACAATTAGTGGAAGAGAATAGACGTAAACGAAAGCAATTGAATATAAGCCAGAATTCATACCCAGAATCAAATAAGTCCTCAAATCCATCATCAATGGTGTCGACCATATCTAGTGATTGTGGTGACAGTGACTCCTTCTTTAATGATATAATAGGATGTGTTTTGGATGTAAACGAAAGGGAACTGAGGGAACAGATAATGGAAATTGAGAATTATGTGAATAATGAAGATTTGGATCAAAATATTGAGACATTGAGTGCCAGACAACTGTTAGAAAATATAAACCAAAAGTCACGACAAATGACTGTCATTCCTATGTTTAAAGAGCTCACAGATTATAACGGTTTGAATGAATTGGAAACTAATAAAATGACCGAGTTGTTGGGTGCATCTAAAATTTTAGATTACCAGTCCAGTAAATACATATTGCATATTAAACATATAATAGATTACTACAAATTTTCAAATAGAAAATTTGAAAAATGTGTTCAAGAATTGCTCAAATTTAGTAAAGGGTTGAGTGGATTCACTAATATATGTTCCGATGANAATTGCTCAAATTTAGTAAAGGGTTGAGTGGATTCACTAATATATGTTCCGATGATCAGTACACCCTTTTTAAGTACGGGTGCCCAGAGATGTATGTTATTAGATGCCTTAAGCCATGCTATTATTATAATGATAGCTATTTTAAGTTTAACTTGGTAATTCATTTGAAAGTGAATTGTATGATATTATATTGCCTAATTTAAATATGGTTTCATTTAGGATACCGACACATCAATTATCTTTAATTTCGATATTTTTAGAAATGTGGTAGCCAGGTCACATTTGCTATTCCAAAATTCATTCGCGGAGTATATGAACAATTTCCTACCCCAATGGAACCGGGATCGTACAATACTGGAATTGGTATTGATACATTTACTTTTGTAATTACAGAATCTGTTGTAATGTATATTTTATATTTCTAGCTTAATTCCATAGCACTGTTTAACCCGAATCGTCCCAACCTTAAACATAGACATAATATTAAGTATGTAACAATACTTGCTATTACTGTATTAGTAACATAATATTTAATTTAGTAACTACTTTTTTCTATTTACATAATAGACTGGAACAGCAATTGTATATTTATTTACTACAAAGATATTTACTATTGAAATGTCGATCAGAATATGATTCTCAGGAAAGGTTATGTCAACTAATGACAACTTTCCCCGATATCTACAAAATAGCTGAATTACAAAAAGATGTTAATCGTGAAGAATTTATAAATTACCCACAATCCTATGGGCCACTAATCAGGGAGGTATATGATCTACCAACACTTGAATAATATTTAATTTATTATAATAAATTTATATTTAAATTAGAATTTAAAACCACTTTAAAGTAATTGTAAGAAATGTTACAAAAACCTATAAATTACAATTTTAATTAAATTTTAAAATATTTATTTATTTAAATATTATTCACATTATTATGAACCACTGATCAGGGAAATATATGATTTATCAATTTATGCATAACATGTTTATTTTGTTTTAAAAGTACAAAACTTTGTATGTAATAAATATCCAATTTTAAATCTAAATATTATTCACATTATTATGAACCACTGATCAGGGAAATATATGATTTATCAATTTATGCATAACATGTTTATTTTGTTTTAAAAGTACAAAACTTTGTATGTAATAAATATCCAATTTTAAATCTTATTACAATGATTTAATATAAACTTTGATAATAATACACAACATTATTGATTTTAATTATTAGAATTTACAAATAATATTAATTGCTATAATAATTTGCAATATTTATTTACATAGATAAATTTGATCATAGCTGTAAAAGTGCATGTTGCACTGTACAAATGATTTTTAATGACAATAATGCATTAAATATGAAAACAACAGCTATTTATCATGAATATAAAAGCGATCATTTACTTAGCGATTTAGTTTTNAATGATTTTTAATGACAATAATGCATTAAATATGAAAACAACAGCTATTTATCATGAATATAAAAGCGATCATTTACTTAGCGATTTAGTTTTATCACATAATTGTTTATCAGCCATAAAAATATTCCCTGCTCATTATGTAACAAATCTTATTAGTCAGTGGTATTGCACACAAATTGCTATTGCTTATATATTTTTAAAATTATTCTAATGTGAAAATCGCATAGAAAATTTATTAGTTATAAACAAAATATACTATAATATTGTATAGTATCTAAAAATAAATATTTATCAAGATGAAACAGAAAGTGAACAATTTATGCGAGATTTGTAACGATAAAGGAATCGGTAAATAAATTCTATTGTAAACCATGAAAAAATTATAATTATAATTAATTATGATGTGGTTTAGGGCGACATTTTGGTGCCATTACCTGTGAGTCGTGTAAAATATTCTTCAGGAGGAATGCCAACAAAGATCAGGTCATTATATTTGACACAAAGGGTTAATTAGAAAATATTTTGTTACTAGTATATAACTGTTTAAATTACCATTTAATAGGTAATGAACTGCGCTTCCGATGGAAAGTGTAAAATAAATCCGTTCACTAGAAAATTATGCACAAAATGTAGACTTAATAAATGTTTTGCTGTGGGCATGAGAAAGGTGAGTTATTGGCATTCAGTTAATGAAAAATTACAAAATAATGTCTGTATTGACAGGAATTGATACGAAACGATAGGGAAAGGGAGGAAAGGAGACAATTAGTGGAAGAAAATAGACGCAAACGAAAGCTATTGAATGAAAGTGAAAACACATCCTCAGAATCAAATGAGTCCTCAAATCCAGCATCAATTGAGTCAACGATATCTAGTGATTGTATTGACTCTTTCATGAGTGATATAATAGGATGTGTTTTGGACGTATCGGATGAGGAACTGAGCGCACAGATTATGGAAATTGAAAATTATGTCAATTATAAAGACTCGGATCAAAATATTGGGGCAATGAGTGCCAGACAACTGTTAGAGGATATCAACCAAAAGTCGCAACAAATGTCTGTCATTCCTATGTTTAAGGAACTCACAGATTATAATGGTTTCAAACAATTGGAAATCAATAGGATTGCCGAGCTGTCGGGGTCGTCCCAGATATTTGACTACCCGTCCAGTAAGAACTTAATCAAAATGATGGACATAACAGAATACGCGAGAATTTCTATGAAAAAATGTGAAGACTTTATTAAAGAAGTGCTAAATTATATCAAAGGGTTGACTGGATTCACGAGTTTATGTCGTGAGGATCAGTACACACTATTTAAGTACGGGTGCCCTGAGTTGGTGTTTATTAGAAATCTGTGGTATTATAACCATGATGGCAAATATTTTAGTTTATATGTGGTAAATATTAATATGAACTTTTTTGTAATGCCTTTAAACAAAATACTATCTCATTATTAGGATAATGACACTTCAATTATAGTTGGTTTTGATTTATTTAAAGACGTGATAACCAAATATTATTTGCCATTCAAAGAATTACATGAGAAATATTTAGATCAATTTATACCCCTATGGAATCAGGATCGTGTTATATTGGAATTAGTATGTTCATATTTAAGTAGTACTAGTAATTTAAATTTTTAAAATAACATAATATTAATGATAGCTAACAGCAATTGCATTGTTTAACCCGAATCGATCCAATCTTAAGCATAGACATAGCATTAGGTAAGCTATTCTAATATTTTATAAATTGTAGGCATTATGAATCTTATTTATCTGTTTCTATAATAGACTGGAACAGCAATTGTATATTTATTTACTGCAAAGATATTTACTATTGAAGTGTCGATCGGATTGTGATTCTCAGGAAAGGTTGTGTCAACTAATGAACACTTTCGCCGATATCTACAAAATGATTGAATTACAAAAATCTGTCGGTTATGAGGATATTAAAAGATATTTACAATATACCGGACCATTGATCAGGGAAATTTATGATATTCCAACAGAATAACATCTAATATATAGCAATTAAATTTTAATTACCGGTAAGAAATTAAATTTTAGTTAATACAGGTACTATTCATTATTTTAAATATTATGTATATAATTGTATATGATAAATAAACACATTATTTTAAATACATTATTCAATGATTAATTAAATATACTGTATGACATACTTACAGTGTATGCTATTATATTATGATATGATATAATAGGTTTGTAAATTACTAATGCTACTTTATTAAAAAATATTATATCAACCTTATATACAATTACTAAACTATAATATGCAAATTATTATAAATATGCTGCAAAGTTTCAAATCTAATTATTAATTAAGGGTTTTAATAGAGGTTTGCAATATTACTATATCAAGAAGTACTTACTACATCATTTTAAAAAATTTATTCATAACTCATTGTGCCGAACATTTCATTAATCATTGAAATTACACATAAATAATACTAATTATATAATTTATAATTTTAAAAGTAATTTATTTTTAAATGAATATTTTAAAATCGTATTGGTTGAGTTTAGTTTGATGTTCAAAATATACTCAATAAACAAGTAATATTCATAACAATGAAACAGAAAGTGTACAAAATCTGTGAGATTTGTAGCGATAAAGGGATCGGTATGTAATAATTAATAAAATTAAATAATTTTTAAAATAACTCAAATAAAAATTTTAATTGCATAAAAATGTGATACCCTTTAGGGCGACATTTCGGTGCCATTACTTGCGAATCGTGTAAAATATTCTTCAGGAGGAATGGCAACAAAAATCAGGTGATATTAATTTGGGTATAAATTTACTTGTTATAATTTTAACTAACTTTTGTGTATAGCTATTGGAGTGCACTTCGTATGGAAATTGCAAAATAAATCTTTACACTAGAAAGTTGTGTACAAAATGCAGGCTTAATAAATGTTTTGCTGTGGGAATGAGAAGGGTGAGTTATTGGAAGAATTCCCGTTTATTTCTAAATTAAATTGTTTGTCTGTATTGACAGGAATTCATACAAAGCCACGAGGAAAGGGAGGAAAGGAGACAATTAGTGGATGAGAATAGACGTAAACGAAAGCAATTGAATATAAGCCAGAATTTATACCCAGAATCAAATGAGTCATCAAATCCATCATCAATGGTGTCGACCATATCTAGTGATTGTGGTGACAGTGACTCCTTCTTCAATGATATAATAGGATGTGTTTTGGATGTAAACGAAAGGGAACTGAGGGAACAGATCATGGAAATCGAGAATTATGTGAATAATGAAGATTTGGATCAAAATATTGAGACATTGAGTGCCAGACAACTGTTAGAAGATATAAACCAAAAGTCACGACAAATGGCTGTCATTCCTATGTTTAAAGAGCTCACAGATTATAACGGTTTGAATGAATTGGAAACTAATAAAATGACCGAGTTGTTGGGTGCATCTAAAATTTTTGA